GTAATGTGAAGGTGAAGTCATGCAGAGAGAGAGAGAGAGAGCAGTGAGTTTGTTTTTGAGCCAGTGTCCTCCACTCATTTCATCATTGTTACATTACATTACTTACATCCTCGCCTATCAGCTCCGTGCTGATACTTCTTTTTATTGTCAGGACAAACGTCATTATGATATTGCTCAGGAAGCACGAGGACAGAAAAGCAGACGCAGGAGTTTGGAGAGAGAAAAAGAAGGTTGATTGTGTTGGTTAATGCACATTTGTTTTACCCGAGATATCCTTGACAATTGTGCTCAACAAGAATGAAAATAGAAACCTTTGTCTCCTGCCTATATATATTCTCGAGGGGTTTTAACATTCAACACTCTGCGCCTCTTCTCATCTCCAACACTGAGAGATGACAGCTTGGGAAACTCACTGCCCCCAAGACTCATCAATAAACTCATAAACACCGGCCTCCGTGATGTTTATTCATAGGGGGGGGAAACAAAGTATCAAGGCAGATGTATGACACCACCATAGCCTCCAGGGCTCCATTTGATAAATGCCACAGTCACAGTGTTTATGGATATGAATTAGATTATCATTCTAAAGTGACCCTTCAGAGTAATACTGTGTACTTGTAGAGCAGTGCTCCGTGTGGACAGAAACGCCCTCAGCAAGTTCCCACTTTTACTTTTTTTACTTTCAATTTCTTGTAAACAGCCCTGACATCTAACTACTGTAAGAACAGCAGTTAGAAACCAGTATTTTGGCTTCAATACTATAACGATATTACAGAATATATCTGTTACATTTAATTGTTGAAAACTGCAGAAAATGATTCTAAACCCCTATTTTCCCCAGACACATGGAATGCTGTTGAAGACGCAGTCCATATATACCTGTGTCACGCTGTGGCCTCTAGCGGTGCAAGAATAGATCACAGTTTCAACACACACACACACACTGATCGATGTCTCTCTGATGTTGCGATTGGATGCTGCCTGTTTCCCAATGTTACAAATAAAATGTAAACATTTTAGAGAACATGGAGAAAATACACCTATGTATATATACTGTGTATATATATGTATATATATATATATATATACACACATACATACATATATACACATACATATATATACACATAAATTGACCAGTGAGACTACACATACATA